CAGTTTGAGATCAGTTTTCTGAGGTGAGAAGCCAGTGGATTGTTCCAGTTTTGGATTTGAGGTTCACCTTGAATTTCAAAGACCTGTTTTGAGACATGGATCTTTTTTTCAGGTTTCTGTACTGGTCTTTACAACCAAGCCTCACATAAAATTCTGTAGCTTGAGGAACAAGAAAGAAAACCTTTGGTATGCACTGGAAGAAAAAGAAACATTCATTTAAATGGACAACGACCAAAAAGAAAATTTGGAAATTCACCCCAATGAGTGCAAGCACTGCTCAGACAAGTGTGTTTCACTTCCCTGCAGGACTAGGGGAGGCGGAGCAGCCCTCAGAGGATGTGCACAACCTCTCTCTCCTGGCTGTGGCTGCTGCTGTCTGCCAGGCAGCCCCAGAGCCCCGGGATGTTTTATACCACATGTGCTGCAATAAATAGGCCAAAACTGGGTCTAGGGCACTCAGTGCTGAAAGTGCAGTGAGAATTAAGCAGGGATTAATTTGAAATCCAATAGCTGCCACTTTAATGGACTCACTGGCACCTAGTGCTTCTGATGTGTTTTTTTTGTGCAGTTGCACAGGGTATTTTCACTCCTGCTACAAACACACACCATCTGCCTCAGGTTGGGGAGAACATCCCCTGCAACAAGGATGATGTGCACATTCATTTCTAAGCATTTGCAGCCTTTCTTAAAGCTCTCTTTGGAAAAAGGGACTGGAGGAGATTGTAGAATTTGTGTATCCCTGTTTCATTTGGTAATTACTTAATTCCCGACTGTTTGCTTGGCTTTCTGTGCTGCAACTATTCAGATGTGGATTGTGAGTTTAACCCAAAGTTTACTGCACCAATATTTTTGGGCTTATTGAGAACATGAAGACAGAGTTCTGTTGGAAGATGTTGGATGTTATAGTCTGACAGTCTTCCAGTGTGGAAAACACTTGAATTTATCCTTGTAGATAAGTTTTAGACCGCGTTGTCCACGTGAAATATTATGTGATGTTTTAAATCTTATTTCTGTTGTGATGTAACATTTTTAAATTAAACCTTTCTTCCTCTAATTAACACTTCAGCTTTTAAAAATTTTTTTTTTCATAAAACTCATTTTAATTGGAGTAACATGTATTGCATGTTTTATGAAACACCTTCATTGAAAGTCTTGGATCCTTTCCATTCAGGTCCCTATAGACCCATCCAGTTTGAAAATACACTGTTTTATCCTCTCCTTAATTACAGTACTTGGAGCAACTCTCTGTTAACTGTTTTTAAATTCCACGGGATAATGAGTCTACCAGAACTAGAGAGTGTACAGCAAAAAACTGTTCACAGGAGGAAGCTTGCTTCCATAATGACTAGTCCTTAAGCTGCTAAATGTATTTGTTCATGACAGACTGTGCCATTCTGAACTGAATTTCACCTATGCATTACTGCTATTATTGTGGGAATAACGAGGGTGTTTGGAATGGCATTGTGCTGTGTGAATCACAATACCTAAATGTCACTTACAGAGGTGGTTCCTACTGGTCAGTGCTACAGTGAAATTCAGAATAACTTTAGGAAAAAGTTGCCTCTGCTCCATCAGAGCAGTCCCAAATATGAACAAGTTTTGTGTAATCTGTAGGCAGTGCAACCAGTCTGTAGTACACATTCTCACATCAATTTGAAACATAATAGGGATAGATAATAATTTGCAGATCAAACTACTATGACATTTAACATGGTTTTGGTCCACTTAGCATTTTCTTGCAAGTGACATGTGAAAATTGCCTGAATCTCACAGAAATCTGCTGAAATAAGACTCTGAACTAGACAATAGTCATAGGAGAACTACTGATTTTTTTTCAGAATCTGTGAAAAAAATTACTTATATTAATGCTATCTGATCAATCCTAAAATTGATATAAAGAGATAGTTTATCTAGGCTTGTGGCCACAGAACTGGTATAAGCATAGACAGAAATTCTGGCTTTTCTAAACCTTTTTCCAGTATGTGAATGTAAAAAGGATTTTCAGTTGCTGTTAAAATGAATTCTTTCTTACTCTAATAGTCTTTTCCATTAGGAGAAATCTTTGTGACTCTTCCCCTTTTGCCTACACACAACAGCCACAGCAGCTTCTGCAGCAGTATGGCTGAGGCATTCGTGTGTTTCTGGGAGGGCATTCATCCCATCCCATACCCCATACCCCATACCCCATACCCCATAACCCATGTGACAAGCACAGCTGCATGGCACAGCAGTGGCTCCATGTCCCATGCAGATGGGGCCATGCACAGGTGCCAAGAGCAGCTTTCTGTAAAGGAACTCCAGCACTCCTTGCTGCTGAGCTGCCGTGCCCACCTCGCCAGAGTTTTGTTATTGATGCTTTCTGTGTTGTATTTGTTAGGATTTTAGAAAGATGAACTTGTTAGTTTGACAACTAATAATATTTTAATTTAGTGGTGAACTCTCTTGGGAATCTATGAGCAAGTTAATTTAAATGAAATTAGGTATTTCAGCTCTTGTAGGTATACTTTGTGGATTTAAATGTGAATCTGTGTAATCCAATTTTAGATATTCGTAAGGTTTTGATGTCCTCATGGAAAATACTGGCCTATTTCAGTATGATTTTGTGCTCAATTAACCATTTAGAGATATTGACTTACAGATATTCAACACAGTTTAATATTTTTGCCCTTTTATTGTGGTATAATATTTACATGTGTATTTCAGTTTCTGGGTCTGTAAATCTTTCTTATTAGGATAATTTATTTTTAAGATTACTGAGTATGTAGCTCTTGTACAGCCTCATATAATTTTCGTCATGCCTTCGTGGTTTTAATCCTTTACATTTTAACATTGCATCCCCTGACTTTAAAATGACTATATATAATGTCCTTGATTTCCCAGTGCAGAGCCACTGCTGCAGTGGCCTCTCTTCCCTTGCACAATTCCATGGAGACTTCAGTACAAGACATGACAAAATGTAAAACCATACTCATAGATCACCTTATAAATATTTATTCATATAAATTCTTTAAAGAAATTAAATTACGTGTTCTATACAAAATAGGAAAGAGAGGCTTTTAGTGTCACTGGCTGCAAATTGAAGTCATTTGTCTTGAAGGGTCAGGTGCCACTTTGTGGTAAGATACTTGTCTGAGATCCAAGAAGGGAAAGATTGATAGTACAAAGAGATTGATGGAACAGGCACTGCAATATGCATATGAAGTTACAGGTTAATTAGGAAGATTTAAACAAGAAAGTCCCTTTGTGTGGAGAAGTGTCATGTGCTGTTACTCTCAGAAGTGAGGTGTGCTGGCAGCCTTTTGAGCAGGCAGAGCTGATTTTCAGAGATGTTTGTGTGGAGATGTGCAGTTGTGAATGTCAGCGAGGTGGCAGATCACCAACAGCACGCGCTGTAGCTGCTCAGGGAGCTCGGTGCTCTGCATACAGAGACACCTGCTCTGCTCACATCTTTGGCTTTGTTGTGGTTGATGTAAATTATAATGCTGGTTTTGTGTTTCCTGTATCAGAGAAAAATCATTAATATTTGAGACTGCCAAGTTCTTTGGGTGTCTCAGGTGATGTGACTATTTGTTCTACTTTTTAATTGCAGGCACAGCAGAAATTGCAGCACTTACAGAAAAATCCTAAAGCTAAGAATGTGTGGTTTATAAAGGGGAGCTGAGCAGTCAACAAACATTGTTTTTGTGTTGATAGGAAAGCTGTTTCGAAAGAACAGACACTGCAAACTGTTCCTTCTTTCATTAAAGTTCACCAGCCTCCCTGGTACATTTAGCAGAGAACAGCAAGCTTCTCTGTGTGGATTGATGCTGAAATTAAAACAGCAAAATCTTTTGTAACAGTTATTCACTTGGCAGAAAGAGAATTTTAAATTTGACTTAAATGCAACAAACCCAAAATGGTCTGTGCCCCTTGTGTCCCATTCTGCACAAGGACAAAATGGTGCAAATCTTCCAGCAAGGCAGGAATAAAAATCTCAGCAAGCGCTTCAGTATTTATTATCGTAATAGTAAATCATCCCTGTCTGCCTGGGAGACCTGTAAAATATACCTGCTGAGGGCAAGAGCAGGCACAGGCCTGAGGGACTGTTACACTTCTAAATACTATAATTCTGGTATTTTTGTCACGATAGTCTTAACTAAAATTTTGCATTCATATAGTCACCTTATTTTCAGCCCCAGAGACAGATCTTGGGGTACATGGCAGCACTTACCTTCTACAATCCATTTCTCTATTCTCTGACTGTGAGTATCTGAATTTTGGTTTAGTAAGGGAAGGAAGAAGACAGGCAAGTTTTACCTTGTCTAGCTGCTACATGTAAGACAGAAAAGGCCTTCAATTGCAGTGTATGGCTTTTTACTGAAGATGAAAAATTTGTTGAAGGGGGACAAAAGTTTGAATTGCAGAATATATTTCTACATTAGGGAAAGGCAGTTAGACTCAATGAGGCCCCTGGGAAATGTGATTGACTTTGAAAACAATCCTATTTAGTTTTATGATATTGCTGAAATGATGAGCCTTCACTTGTTATGTGGTCAGATACCTGTTTATTCACATAATTCTGAGTACAAAAGCAGCTGTAGAAAACAGGTTGTGGAAAAACAACACTCTCTTTTCTCTTTCACATTTTCACTTGTAGGAACTGTTTTTCATACTTAAAGAATTCTTCTCTTGTATTAACCTGAGACCAAATACAAGAAAATCTGTCAAAACAAATGAGTTGGAACACATCCCACGATACCAATACATGCAGGCAAAGTGGTGTCTCAGGCACAGTTCCAGTGGCCTTTTTGTGGTACTTACCCTCCCTGCTTGAGTGGCAGCTTGCCTCCCATTAGCCTCCCCATCCATCACAAAGATGCTTCTACTTCAGGAAGAAATACAGCTTATTGGTATTGTTCTACTGCAAGGATTATATTTTTGCAGTTGATAAACACAGTGCACTTCTTATTGTGAGAACTAAGTACAATTTTGTTTTTCTTTTTGTTCTCTTTTTTTTCCAGAAACCAAAACAAAAGGACTGGCATCCACCTGGAGGATTTATTTTAGGACTCTGGGCATTGATCATCATGGTTTTCTTCAAAACATATGGAATCAAGCACATGAAACATGTCTTCTGAACTGGAGCAAAAAAGATACTTGCACTGGCTGCTACTTTGGGTTCCTGGGTATCTCCTGTGTTCCCTTCATGTGGATTATAGTTGTGTTGAAATACTGTGTTGACATCTTGCTTCTAAAGATTCTTTTGAAGCCATCTCTTCTGCCCCTTTTTCTGGAAAGATTCTAAAAAGTGGTTTTAATGTTACTGTTATTTCACTTTGTCTTGATTTAAACATATTTTAATGCTTTTCTGAGCATTTTTTCTTTTTGGTTAAACTTAAAAAGGGCAGGAACTAAACCCAATTACAAGATTTCTGTGGTTGCTTCTGGATTGTGAATGGGCAAATTCTTTCCACCATACTTTAAAGTAAATCTTAGAAGAAGTCACCTCTTACTAAAGAACTGGACGTTGTGGAGAACGTTATTTAAGATGTCAATCTGTCAATAAAAACTTTAGCATGGCATATTGAAAGCTTTCTTCACAAAAATAAAAATACTCTGGAATATATTGATTTCTTTTTTATTATTATTTTTTGTTCCCTGTTAAATAAAACCCTTACATCAGTCCTTTCGCCTTAGATAGTTCTGAGTCTAGAATTCTATGAGTTGGTGAAAGTAAAACAAAAATTATATGACTTTGCTGAATCTACTTAAAAAGAAGGCCAAAAAAAGTGAAAGGACTTCACCATGTCCATTAGAAACCCTTCACAGATGTTGTATTTTCACTGCATATAATATGGACTTGGATGCTTTCAGAATTTTCAGTGCACTGGACTCTGCACTGAAGAAAATCAGCTCTGGCATCAGGATGAAGAACGTTATAAATTGTACCATTGTATTCTGTAGTTTCTGAGCCCCTAGAAAATGTGCTTTGTTGCCTGTGTTTTGTAAATTCTGGTTCGGCATATTGTTGTGTTCTTCCTGGACATTTACTGATGAATGTGTGCTAGAGGGGTTTTGTCTGTATAATACAGTGATATTTGTGAAGAGAAGAGCAAATCTGTGCATGTGTAGAAACACATCAGTCAGTGAGGAGAAGCTTTTGCCCCGTGCTTTTGGAACATGTTCTCTCCTTAACCAAAATAAAGCTTACCTGACACAGTCATGGTGTAAGTACTACACACATATCTCTAAAGTTATTAGGAATTATCTATAATCACACACAGTATCAGAGTTGGTATCTTTTTCTTAGAATATGGTTCTGAGCATTTCCTGTTGCACAGCACATACAAATCTGAGTGCATAAGCATTTTGTCCTTTTTTTTCTCTTCCAGCTTGTGGCATCCCAGCCTCAGGTGAGAGGAGGTGAACTGTCAGAGCTGTGTGAGCCTGGGAGGTTGTGGAGAAGCCGCTGAGGCTTGCAGAGAGCAGAGAAAACAGCAGTGTGGTGCAGCTCAAGAACTAAAGCCTTGTTTTTTTATCTCCAAAGATTTTCTAGGCTTGGAGATGTTGAAGGTACAAAATGATCCAAAATGGGAAGGTAAACATTTGCCTACTCCACCTCTTCCTGGCACTTCTTGGTGAAGAGCTGGGATTATTTTCAGTAGCAGGGGCTTAAGGCCCAGGAGTAGGGATTAGACCTAAAGCATTCCTAAAGTGGGGTGGATAATGATGGACTTGTCTTCTCAGTGTGCTGATCAGAAACTTTTATGTAGCTGGTGCACAGATCCTCCCTGCTAAACAATGCCACTTAAAGGGAAAGAGAAACACTCTGTGGGATGGGTCTGAGCAGCATTCCTGGGGCTGGATGTCTGGATCTGTTCACAGTGTGTTGGGTTTGGGGGTTGTTGTTTGGATAATGTCCTTCAAAAGCAATGACTTCATATCCAAAATCTGATATAATGGTGATTTTTCATAAAATCAAAAAACTGGGTTTTTTCCCCCTGAGCAATTTCTAATACAACAGTCAAGTAAAATCTGCTGTGCACTGACCATATAGAAATGTGTAGACCCAGTATAGAAATGAATCCTGCAGAATTCCTTAGAGGATTTGCTTAGCTTTCCTTTCCTAATCCAACTCTTTTTCAATTGTAGTAAATATTTTAATCAAATATTTATTTTATAGGCAAGTTTTGCCACACTTTAAAAGTGTACAAAGTCAGGTTGATAGAGTTTTGTGCCTTGCTTCATTTGCAGTAACATTTATTTGGACTCCTCAGGCCTTATTCAATTTTTCTCTTTCCCTCTTTCAGCCACCTTTTGCAGGAAGTGGTAGAAAGATCTACAGAACTCAGCTGAATTTTGCCAGTAGCAGTAGATACCAAAGATTCTGTCTTTTTAAAAGCTTATCTGCTTAGGGAAAAGGAGGCAATTAGGTGGGTTATTAAAATGCAATTTATGAATAGAGGCACTCAGTAAGTATGCATGTGAAGGTGATTAAATTGAAGTGGGAACAACAGTTTGACTGGAATGCAGCAAACTCTGCTTCAGGCATTTTTAACATTTTTGTATGCACAGAAGTGAGGAGTTGAAATGGATCATTCTGAGACACCATCAAGTTGCCTATGCTACACCTATGAGACAGGATTTTCTATGCTGTGATAGCTTTTGTTCCTTGAACAGTTACAGTCTGAAAGCAAGTACAGGAATGTCACAGAATTGACTGTAGATGTGTGTTATTTATTTATTTTTTTATTTAAAGTTAGTAACCTTTGGATTTTCCCTGGGAGGCCTTCAAGCTCAGTTTGGAATGGCCTCTGGGAGTCAGCCATGTCACCCTCAGTCACAAACCATTTGTGTTGTGCAGGCCAAGTGTGCTTTGCAGTATGGATGCTTCCTCCAAGGTGCACAGATGATCTTTCTGATGGAATCCAGGAGACAAGCCAGGTGGCAGCTTCCTGATGCTTCTTTGCATGGGAGCCTTTTGAGCAGAGTTGAATTTCAGCATTGTGTGAGTCTGCATGGATAGGTCTGTGAACTAAGTGTGCCCATGCCTGCAAAACTCAGTGTATTCATGTCTGCACCCTGTGCTGTGGAACTGCACTGGCAGGTCCTGCAGTGGGATTTTAACATATTGTTTAGAACACTCATGGATGATAAAAATAGATGTTGATCATTTCAGTTTTTCAGCTTTCTTTCAGGATCACATCTTAAAATGCATCTTTATTATTGAATGAAGAAAAAGTATCTCCCCAGTGGGGTTGTACTCACAGCCAGGTGCCCTGGAGTGCCTGTGACCAGGCCCAAAGGCTGACACAATGTGTGACCAAGCTGTGCTTCTGTTACAGACTGAAAAGTGAGGTTCCTACAAAAAATGAGTGGAGAAAGAAACCTGGACAGGTGGGAAGACAATGAGTGTTTCTTGGTCTATTCCAGCAGAGCATTTTCATGTTTAATGACTGTTCTGATGAAATGCTGTTCTCTTGGCCAATACCAGAGCCTGTTCACAGGTATCCTTACAAACATCATTAGTGATGCTGTGTCTCTTCTAGAGAGTGCAGGGATTTTTTCTTTCAGTTGGTTTTTCCTCCTGAAAGCTGGTATCTGTTATTGATTACAGAAAAGCAAATGCAGTCTGGGTCTAATTCTCTTGCTGAGTGCCTGCACACTGAGCCCATTTCAGTCTCGTTTCAGAGTCAGGGATTTTTATTCTCAGCTACCACATCCACAGAAGTAAATGGAATTTGTGCTCCAGTCTCTCTCAGAGGGGCATCATTGCATGCTGGAGCGGGGCTAAGTTGCACTAAATCAGTGACTTGCAAAGGGGCCAAGGCCAGGTTCAGCTGTGAATTTATCCTGGGTGGAGAGGATTTGTGCAGTGATAAGGCCAGGGAGGTCTTGCACTGCACTCCTGTGAGAGGGACTGGAAGCTGAGGCAGGGCAGAAGTCTGCAGCTCTGGCAATCCTGTCAGCATGTCACCAAGGGGTTTTTTCATGTTACAGAACCCCTGCTTTCTCTTCTCTGATGGATTCTGAGAAGGAAGGAATAAAAAGATCTGAAAGCTTCCCTAATTATCCTTTCAGTGTAGCTGAGGAAGTGAGATGCTGCTAGTTTCTGGTAAATAGTGAAGATTTCATCCATCTTTGCATTGTGAAGTTAAAAGCTTTTATGTGGTCAGGATTGTTTGGACTTGATAAAAACAGATGAAGTGGAAGGCAATCCACAAAGTGAGAATGGTGCATTTCAGAGTCTGTGGTATCTGGAGAGAAGACAGCCTTTGTATATGGTGCAGTGTGGGACAAGGGTTGGGGCAAGAAAGATCAGTGTCCTCATGTACAGATCTTCAGCCCTGTCTCTGTTACAGAGCTCTGTGTGACCTGGTAGAATTTTATCGTGTTTCCAGACTAATTAACCTTTGGATTAAGACAAGCATAAAATATTTCACCCAAGAGACTAATTTATCCATAAAGTTATGAACTGCAGAAAAAAGCAGTGTATATAATGGAAGTGTCTTCTCAGCCATGTGAAGATCAAATTCAGGCTGCAGCTGACAGAGAGGAAAGTTGAGGTTCAGTACCAATAGTTGTTCTGCAGAAGTTTCTGTTCAGTATTCCACAAAGGAATCACAGGTGCCACAAAAATTCTTTTTAGCCATCACTCCAGCACTTCTGTACCATGATGAGTGTAATAGTTTTTTGCATTTCTTAAATGGTGAAAGACGAATTTAAAAAATGGAGAAAGTTTCTCATAGAAGATTATATGACTTTAATTTATTTCTGCTTTCCCTCTTTCTGTGAAATTTTAAAAATAAAAAGCTTTCAGGAAACGTATCTTGAAAGTATCTGTGTTTTGTAATGAAAACTTGCATAGGCTGCATAACATAGTCTGAAATCAGCATTTCTTAGAACTCATTTCACTTTTAAGTTCTTAAAGACTGAGTTACTTTTTCTCCCCTAATGAGGATTTCTCCCTGATTTAGTGATTAAATTGATAATATTTAAGGTTTCCATTCAATGATGTATATCTATTAATGTTTGATTGTGCCATATTTTCTTCCCCATGCAGATTATAGATTTAACTTTTTTGCCTTTCTTTCTTTTCAGGTCTATGTGAGAATAACACCAAAGCCTTGGCCAGTACTGAGCCAGTTTGCTGCTTTGGCCAACAGGCTTAATAGATATGCAAATTGTACTTTCCTACATTATTTTGGTGATGTTGTTTACAACAATCCCTTGAACAAAAGAAGCCACATAAGAAGCAAACAGTTTGGACAGTGTAACAGCATTTTGCACACTGCTGTTGACATGGCTTTGGTGACAGCTCAGCAGAGACCGGGCCACCAGGCTGTGGTTTATTCAGGAGATTCATGGCATGTCATACCAGTCCCTGTGACAAAACTGACTAATCTGGAATAGCAAATAGATTTCCTTTCTTGGTATGACTTACTGGAATAATGCTCTTATATTAAATGTCTGACTAGGCCCACTGGCTCTGCATGTAGTGACTATTTTAAACTGAGGCTCTGTCATTGACATCCAGCTCCAATGTAATGGTACTTATTTCCTTTGCCAAATGCTTTGACATTTACTAACAAAGAGCCTCACTAAATATTAGATTATGTTTGATTTTCTTTAAGTTACTTTTTTTGTACTGATTTTCCTGTTCAGGTTAAGTTTGTAGCTGAAAATATTGTGGCTCGAATTGTGATGATTTTAGGGTCCCCTTACCTCCGTTGGTATTTATAATGCACATAGAATAGCAAATAGGATCTCTGGGGTCATCAGTGTATCATTGCAATGTATATTTATATTTTGTGCAGTTCTTTTATATGCCCTTCTCTGGAGTGGTCCCTGTATTTATAGTTTTTTATATCTATAGAAGGTTTTCTGCACTTGCTGTTGTTGCTGGTTTCTTTAATCTGCTCCTTCTCTGCAGCATCATTTGCAGTGGAGGGATGAGGAAGAGCTTTTCAGTGTTTCATGTAATGCACATCTACACATGTACAGCCAGTTAAAAAATAATGATGGTGTTGTCGGGATGTTCCAAATTTCTCCAACACAAATGGACAGTCCCACTCAGTATCAGTAACCACTTTCAGTTTTGGCCTTGTGTGCAGCCAGGATGCAATGGGGAAGCATATCCTCATAGGCTATAAATCTGTTCACTTCTTTTGCCTTTGTGTTAAAACATAAACCTAACATAAGATCTTGCCTTAAATGAAGCCA